GGACTAGAGGCATGCGCCACTATGCCTGGCTAATTTTTTCTATTTTTAGTTGTTTGGCCAATTTCTTTCTATTTATAGTAGAGACGGGGTCTCGCTCTTGCTCAGGCTGTTCTCGAACTCGAGCTCAAGCAATCCTCCCGCCTCGGCCTCCCAGAGTGCTAGGATTACAGGCGTGAGCCACCGTGCCCGGCCTGTATCATTATATTTATCAGTAGCTTGTTTCATTGCTTTCCATTGTGTGGATATTGTTAGGTCTGGTCGACAGACGTACAGAGCCTCCGATGTAGGATAATGATGTTTATTTTGAGCATCTGGGTGCAGATGGGTGGAGACAAAAAAGCATCCACACCGAGGGAGGGAAAAGCTTTGGGTTTTATAGAGGGTTTTTCCAGGGGGAGTGAACAACACCTGTAGAAATAAGGGAGGGAAATAACTTTGTCCTTATCAGGGAGAATAGAAATGCCAGCGTCACTGTAGCTGTCTGTAGTCCTGTAACTGTCTGTGGGTAAAATTAAATTTATAACTCGACTCTCCAGACTCCTGTGACTTTTGTTTCACAGACTTTATAATACTTGTCAGGTTCCCACCCGAAACAAACCTAACAGATGTACAACATGATTTTTTTTTTTTTTTATTTACCAGTCGATAGACTTTTGAGTTGTTTCCTGCTTTTGGTTAATATGAATGATGCTGTTATGAACATTTGAGTACAATCTTCGGGAGAACATATTTTCATTTCTCCTAGGTACTTAAGAATCAAATTGCTGGGTATTGACCTTACATTTTGTTTTCAATATTTAAAACTCCAGTACTTAATAGATGAGATTAAACACAAATTTTTATATCCTTCTCCCAAATATAGCAAAAACATTAGTAAGAGCTTTAATTCTTTACTTTCCTTTGTCCTTGCCACCTATCCTGAGATCAAGGGAGGGAGGGGTCATTCCATATAATTGCTTTGTAGCCTACAATTATGTAGACTTTCTTGTGTTTTTTAAATTTTGATTTGGTGTATGTGGCTAACACTTTTTTTTTTTTTTTTT